TCTTTCTTTTTGCTATTTTTGCATTCGTCATTTATGCCTCCTGTCAAACTCTCGGCCAGAAGACACTGTATTCTCTGTATTTTCCGCATCGGCGGGCCGCGCTTCTCCACGTGGCGGATAATGCAACTTCCAACGGCAAGTGTATCGAATTCAGGCCAGGTTTATTGAAGCGTCGTCGCCGACGACAAAAACAGCCTCGTAGATCCGCAGCCGCTTTTTATGCATTCGCAAACTTTCGCCGACTACTTCGCGCTCCGATGACCGTGATATTTCTCTGTTGGCCGCGTGTTTCTCCCCCTTCCGTCCCCCTCAACCCTCGTTTCTGATCGCGATCACGAGGACTTTGACGAGGACTACGCTTATTTTCAAGTACGAAACAACTCGCACAACTGCAATAGGGAGTATATCTAGCCACGTGTATCCAAGGTTCTTGACAAAAATTAAGGACACGTAGTTCGCCACACTTATTCCTAGCGTAAGACATTCGTGTGATAGAAAATTGATAGACAGGAGCTCTCAGTTTCATTTCGCGAATCCTGTCAAGGGATTGCTTTCTGGCGAAGAAGAAAGGATCGAGGAACATCCTCACGCTGTATAAACTAAAAGAGACTAGAAACTAAATCCACTGAAAAGAGGAAGAAACGGAAGAAAAGAGCAACCTAGAATTGGTACGGGAAGGCAATTCGTATGTACGTGTGTGTGTGTGTGTGTGTGTGTGTGTGAGTTAAGTGGCGGGTACGCCGGTCTAACGACACTAATGTACATTTAATGTCTTAAGTTTGAATATACAGCCGCGCGTTCTCCGAGAGTCGCGAGATAACATCTTAAATATATTTTTGCATTTATGCGGCGAACGCGGGCCAGCGTGGAAAAAAAGAAACGGGCGCCGGGACGCGGCGAGAAAGAAAGTTTTCAACGCGACGCGACGCCTCGAGTTCGACGGAGAAACCCGCACCAGGTAAGGTACTTCTTCCAAAGGATTTTCCACGCTTTCCCCTCCCGCAATTTCTCTTTATGTAGCACAAAGGCTGCATCAAGAGTCTACGATCTGGCTGTCGACCAGGAGGAATACCAGAAGTTTTTCCATTCGCTGGAATGACGGGAGAACCGACATAAACGCGGCCTTCTCTTGCCTTCTTCGTACGTGAAATTTCTTTCTTTGCCCCTTCTCCATTCGTCCCTCGTTTCTTTCTCTTTCCTTGCTGCTTAGCTAAATCAGATCGAACAGATCGATGTTGAGGAGAGTCAGGAATTTTTAACGCGCGTCGAACACCGTTTTCGAACGATCGAAACGCCACCACGAAGAGAAGTATCGCGAAAATCCGGAGAAATCTGGAGGAGGTCCACGTTTCTACGTTTCGCCAGCGAGTCGACACGGAGCGCATATTGGAAAGGCAAACATCGTGTATTCTCGAATTCCGAAATGCTTTATTCTGGCACATTCGCTGCCGACTCAACGTTCGTACCTTCGCCTCGCTCCGCGGTTTTATATCCTCGTTCACACCTTTCCATTACGTACGGCGAGATTTTCTGTTTCGTCTGACAAAACAAGTCCCCCCTCTTCCCCTCCCGCCCCTCCTCTTTCTCGATACACGAAACCGCAAGACAAATTCCGCATCCAACCATCCCAACTTTGAAAAAAATTTGAGAGCAACGTTCTACCTTCGTTCGATCTTCTCGAACGATGGAAACGTATGGTAGCGGCAGAAAATTATTACACGTTGATCACGTGTTCCATCGTGGTTCTATAGAATCTGTAAAAATCTGGCGTACGTAGCTTTACGAGCCGTTTGTACGGCCGTTCGCGCCACTCGACCGATGAATTACCGATTATATGCCTACGGTGCTCGCGACAGAATCGATGGGAATAATCGGTAATAATCACGCGATCCGGTTCGTGGAGCCGCTGCCGGCCAACGAACTGACGACGATGCGCGTCGCGAGAATTCGAGTTTGTCCAGGCTGGGTCCTCCGTCGACGAGTTCGTTCGTATGCATAGCCGGCTATGCTGATTGGTTGGCACGCAAGTCGCTGGCACTCCGGCCGACAAGTCTGCGCGCTGGATGCACACACCGGTAGTGACAACAGCGCTGCGCTGGTTGCCTGGTTACAACCGGCCTTCATCTCGTCGACGGATGTTGCATACGCGTTGTATTAATATGTATTTAAATTAGTGCCTCAAAGAGAGCCGAAATTACCGCGCGCCACACGCGGGGGATAGCTATCGATGCTAGGGGTTGCTTCTTCGAATCTCCTTGAGACGATGCGACGCGACGAGACGAGACACGAGGCGACGCGTCCCTTGATCGATGCATTTTCTTGCCTAGTTTCTTGCCCAACGAGAAATTGCGCCACGAGCGTACAGAGAATAATCCGTACCGACTTTCGAGTGAAAATCTTTTTTTCTTTCCTTCCGTATATTTTCTTTCCCCCTTTTTTCTAATTTTCTCGGCGCAACAGCCAACTTCTCGGTCGGTAATGACAAGAGACGATGAAAATGGGAGGAGCGTGTTGTTTCTAGTTTCTTCGTGTTGTTTCACGGAGCGTGGAACATTGCAAGTTACGCGAAGTAAACGACGATACGAAAGACAATCGTCGATCGTTACGACAACGCTGCAGTAATTTTCTTTCATCAGGTTTGAGAAAAAGGAAACAAAGGGTTGAAAATGGCGGAGGAGAGTTGAGCTGCATTTTAACGATCCTGATGACGGTATAAGAATATATATGTATGTACGTGTATCTCGAGATTACAAATATTGCGCGTATCATATTATATTTGCAAAATACATCGATATGGCTGGGAAAAATAGTTTCGTGCATCGTGCCGATACCTCGACAGAGAACACGCACGATGCACGATATTGTTTTTCCGCGTTTAAAGTTTTTGACAATAGGCGCGAATAAATTTTTAACGCGGAACAGATCAGACGAACCTCAAATATTTTCCACGTTATCCAAAGCAAACTGAGCTCACCGGGGGGTAAATTGCCGATAGACAAAGCGCCGTTTCGATTCGATCGAAAAATACCATTTTTTTGCCGCTCCCCTTTCAGCCGAATGGCAAACCCTAGCTGTAAAAAATTAAAAACACCGCAGTGAATCACGGGCGAAATGGTACTGTATGTAATTTTAAAGGATTTCCGATAAAGCCTGAAAGTTTCAATATAAACATACCGAAAAATACCGACGTGAAAATATAAATTCTCCCCTCAACCGCGGGAGGGAAGAGGAGAGCGGTCGGAAACGTTCAGATTAACGCGATTAATTCTACGAACCTATTATCATTTTACAAACAAACAGAGACGAGCCGGGCATCGTTGAATTGACAACGAGACGGCTATTTACGCGTCGTTTGAAGCTTGGAAAATAGCGGCCGAAACGAGCCGGGGTTTTGCTTTGCTTACCGATACTTTGGTACATGTATATCTTGTCCAAACGGGATGCCGAGGGCGAAGGGGGGCGAAAACCACTTTCTTATTTAGCGATAATTACGAGTTTCTAACCCTTGGCTGGCATCGTCTTCGTGATCTTAAGATCCCTTCATCGGCTTTTCTCCTCCATTGAACGAACCTCGACCACGATAGCACCGGGAGATTGCACGTTGAATGGAAAATTGATTAACGTCGCCAACACACTGACGCACCTGTTTGTTTTATCAGCGTTTGCCGATAACTTCTACTACTTCTTCGACAACCCCTTCCGCGCGCGCGTATCCCCCGATTACGCTCTGGCTTTCACGTTCCAGCCTAACTGACTTATAGCTTTCGTTGGAAATTATTGAAGACGATCGGTTACCCTTTTCGCCGACGAAAGGAACAACTGAATCATTCACGAGGGAGTATCGATTTCCTAGTCGTCGAATATGCCTACGAAACAGTCAAACGTCGTTCCCTGTCGTGTTGAGCAGTCCTCCTCGCTACGAACGCGTATTACATTTTTCTTTTTTTTTTTTCTTTTTTAATCCAACTATTTGTCGCATAAGTAGCGCGAAATGTAATTGAATATCGTTTGAATCAGAAGCGAAGTGGAATGAAGGTATCGTTTGTCAAAGGGCGTTCAACATTTTGGCCGTGTCGCGTCGTTTCGATTATTTAATCACAAATATCACAGCCGCTGTAACACAGTCGCTGTGTTTTCCCTGTTTGAGTAAGAGGCTCGCGACTAGAAACAGGAAGGACGGACAAACCCGTTGTTCGATGAAGACAGATGGCGTGGAAACGGGGCAATTGGACCTGTATTTCACTCCGTCTGCGTGCAGCAATTAGGAGCGTGCGCAAGCACGTTCGTTCGCCTGATATGACGCGTAATGCGACACGCGTGCCAGAAACCGCGTCTAAGAATCACAAAATGAATGTGAAACTACTCTCGTTATCGAGACGGACTTGCAGAATTTTGCGCCAACGCTCGCATCGAAATTTCGTTTCGACAAACAACACCGATCGAGCTTCCTCTTCCAACGTTGCGAGAGCAACGAATCTTCTCTTACAGAGAAAATGAAAGTGGCTCGAGTATATTTTTACCGAGATGAAACAGTTTGGAGGGAGCGGCAGTTTCAACTGTCGCAGCTAAAATTCCGCGGGGCAAACCCTGGCGGCGGGGAATCTAATCGAAATATAATACTAATTTACTTGATACAAACCAACCCGTTATTTTCCCGCCGCGTTGTATAATTGTTTACCCGGGGCGTTCGCAGCCAGGCAACAACACGTTTCCCTTTTATAATTACGCGAATTCCATTAGCGCCGGCTGCTATAGATCTGACGCGCGTTACGCGCGGAATCACTTTTTCTCCGCCTCGAGAAATTAGAATAGATTCCTACGCTTCCGGCCGGATTAAAACGTAAATTACGATCGCGATCCTTTAAACGCGAGTTCATCGTTCCTCTCCGAACTCTCGTTGGCACGAAGCGAGCGGAATTAAAAACTTGAAAAGCGTAGCGCGGCAGCAGGGAACGCTGAAAACACCAATGGCGCAGCGTTGCGCGATCAACGTTAGTTACCTTGGCACATGATGGTGATGATGTGAAGTATGCTGATGGTCAGATATCGTCTTCTTCTCTGATTGTCCGCCATTTTGTCGCCGTTGCACACCACGTTTTGCACACCACGAATCTTATCTGCAAGCAAAGATTACGCGAATACGTGATTACTCGACGCCGCAATAAATCATGCATTCGCTATTCTAAGGATTCTAAGGCCGTCGAAAACGAAGAGGGCACGAACGCGAACGCGAACGCGCGTCGGTTCGATCGATACGCGCCAGCTATGAAAAGGATCGGAGGGTTAATTAATAAATAAGCCGAGGTCTGTCATTAAGGGACGCGATAGTCGGGGCAGACGGAGCGAGTATGACAGGAATATGTAAATACGCATCCATCTAGCCTAGGATGCACATCCGAATGCATATTGCGATGCAACCGTATCGTTGATTCGTCGATACGTCGGAAATCCACGAGGCCGTGAAATCATTAACGCATGGCTAAGTCAGTGTAATAGAGGGATGCTGTAATTAACGAACACCCAATGTTAATCAGGTTTATTGGGCTGTAATATATGTACAACCACTCGAGAAGATGCAGACTGCATTCGCGTGCAGCGAACGTCTACGTTCGGATAGGCTGCAGAAATCAACGTCTGAGACGGTTCGATGAACGAGATGAAAAGGGAGAATGAGGGAAAAAGAGAAGAAAAGAAGAAAACTCCAGGGAGAGTGATGGAAGAGAGAAAAGAATTGAAAGGAACGCGATTCGAAGTGTGATCCGACCTGTAGCATCCGCGAAGAAAGAGAATGTCGAGAACGACGATGGCGGAGGTAAATTAGTAAAGCGTTTTATTTAACAGCGAATCATGAAACAAACAACAACGGGGAGGGGGGGGGGAGAAAAGAGGGAGAGACGAGAAACGAGTTGGCACGGTACGCGCGCTCATCTAGAAATAAATTTGAATTTAAATTCGATTAATTAACAAAAATATAATATCAATGAGTTCTTAAATTAAATTCCATAATGTAGATTTTTTTCTTTCTTTTTTTTTTTTCTTTTTTTTTGCTAACGCGAAATACGCGATTTGCACTGATACGAAATACTCTGTCTCTCTTTCTCTCTCTCTCTCTCTCTCCTGACCGATATTTCGAGTTAATGATTAAAGTAACACGAAAGTCGGCTGAATTTATTTTATCGCTCGCTCTGAGGTCTCGCGTATTTTGCTAATTACTTATTATACGCGATTTCTCATCGTACTGCCGTGACCGCTGAAACGTTTGCGTTTTCATATATTGCACATTAAACGAGAAAAGGGGAGAAGACAGAGGGAGGGAATGCGAAAAATAAGGAGAAACATTACATATTGTAAATGACACGTATTGCGATCGTTCTAAAGTTCTTGCGATCTCCAGCCGGGTAGAAGCCAGCGGCTTTAATCGAGCTCCGCGGAAAGTTGGAAAAAAGTGCAACTCCAGCATAATCGCGAGTAAAAGCGTTTTACTCTCTCGTAATCTGTAGGCGTGAAATCGATTCGCGGATCTCGCGGCGTGTCTCGCGAAAGGAAGATATTTCACCGAGAAGCAAAAAAATGTCGCGACAGTGAAGGAACCTCCGAGGACATTTCTCTTTTGATCGTGTTTTACTTTCGTCAACTTCGTATACACTTATTAGATACGCAATTGATATTTCTGACAACGCGCAGCAACAACACGGTGCTCATTTGCGCGAAACGGGACCACGGGCTGCCAACAATTCCGATCGCGTCGTAATTTCAGAAGTTTCGCAGATTAAATGAAAAATGAAAAGTTGATCTGAAAGTTTCACGTCTCGCGAAAGTAACATTGTCACGGTGATTTCCATTCTTTTATTTTTTTTATTATTATTTTTTTTTTTTTTCGTAGCCAGTGGCGATGAAAGCACGCGCGGGTCCACTCGAAACGTTAAGGGCGGTAACCGTGTAACTTGATTCGCTACGTTATTACAAGTTTTACGAGTTAATTAACGGAGATTTTTAGAGTAATATCACACAGGCACTCGTGCAAAGCGGCTCTTGTTATTACATCACGCTTTCACACATCCACGGCGTTGAAATTACCGAGGAGGGAGGAGGAGGAGGGGGTTAAACTCGTAGCTATCGCGCTCGACCCATAATTAGTAAACTCGGTTAACGACGTGACGCACCCCCTACACCCCCGTTCACCAACGCTATCGTGGCTAGCTGCATTTTTTCTTTCTTCCCTTCTCCCCTTGTTTCGTAAACTCCTTTCCGTCCAGTGACAGTAGCTGGCAAGTGTAAAACGCGGCGGATTACACACGGCCGGCGACGCGACGTTAACCTTTCGTTCATCACGGACTCCCGGCTCGTTGAACGTTCGGTGAAACTTTCCTGTCGGGAGGGGTGGGTTAAACGAGTTTAAACAATCTCCCAGAAACGGGATCCTCGTCATCTCGTATCGATCCATCGGGATATCGGATAACGTCTGCTCGGCGGAGAATTTATAACGCGGCGTATTAACGCGTCCGTCGCCCAAAGCCTTCGACACGTATTCGAAACGGACGAATTCATCAATATCGTTGAATTTCGCGTCTAAATCGGTTCACCGTGTCACGTCCGCGTTCCCTGCGCATCCAGAATATTCATACTCGTAAAACTAAAGCGCGCATACCTACGCGCGTGTACGCGCGAAACGGATCGAGGGGGAAAGGGGGGAAGGGGCAATTGGGAAAATTGTCCGGCGTCCTAACGCGAGTATTATATCGTTTTTACGAGAATGTTTATCGATAATACGCGTAACAGCTGTACGTTTTAACGGCGCCGATTGTTTAATCCAATTGGACAAATGGCCGTTAGGTCGGGTGGACGGAGCAGCGAGCGCCGATGCGTCGGCTCGCATCGGTCTGCAACGAGCTGGCTCTACCGCTACCGCTGCTACTGCTGCTGCTGCTGCTGCTGCTGCTGCTGCTGCTGCTGCCCGTCCAGATTTACGAGGCGATTTACAAATTGGCGGTTATTGTGCCCGGCACGGAAATCAAACTGTCCTGTAAATCAAAACGTCTGCCAGCGTTCATTAAACGTCAGGCAAATCCCGGAAATCGGTCGTCGCAACTCGGCCGGCCACCACCGCGGCCTGTCCACCTCCACGCCACTGTCTCTCTCCTCTCTCTCCTCTCTCTCTCTCTCTCATTCTCTTTCTCCATCCGCCACCGCCGCCGCGTTTCCGTTTCCGCCGGTAGTCTCCGCGCGTCGATGCACGCCACGCCAGCTACACGACCATCAGACATTAGCCCGCGTCCCGAATTCGTCGTGCGCTCGTCCGCGAAAATCGTAAACCATTTTTATTCTCTCTCTTCGTCGATTCCCCACCGAGTTTTGTTTTCCCATACGTTCGTCGGTGGACAACGAAATAACTGGTCGTCGACGCGCAGACCGAGAGGGCGTCGTCGAAAATAATCGTTTAATCTGCGCGCCAGCGACGAATCTCTTCTCCCTTCCCATTCAGTCTGTTTTCGACGTGGTCGATTTATTTTTCTTTTTCAGCCAGTGGACGGCTAGTTCGTTAAAGAGATTGCCTCTCCTCTCGCGAGATTACGCTCGCTCTCTCCTCTATGAATTTGTATTAACAGGCGAAAACCGGGGAGGGGGCGAAACAGATTCCCCAAAATCCCGCGGTTACTCTCGCCAGAAATGATTCGAGATTGATCGTGACTGGCGAGTCAGGCTTCGGATGCTTATGAGATTGGCGCGGCGAGTAATCTAGTCGAAAGTGTAACGCAAGCCGTGCGATAGACGGATTCGGATAGAATGCCGGTTTAGATCGGCTCGTGTAATTTAACGGGCAAGTTCGTGCCGGGTGATCGTGGCAAAGCCAACCGAAAAACGGGCTCGCGTAATTGCGATCGTACGATGAAACTCACGTTCGCACTCGCGTCGACCAACAGTCTGCACGATCCGCCACCTCTTCCTTTTTTGCTTTTTATCGGCGACGTTACTTTTATCATCCGCCGCCGTAAAGGGCGAAACACAGATCCGCCAGAAAAACTCCGCGTCGGCGTCGTTATCGTACCAATGTTACCAATTTCCCCGATAGCCTGGACTTTCTCTCGTTCAACACAGTTGCTCCTTCTCTCCCCTGGAGAGGGGGTCGAAATCTCACGGACGAAGAGTCTCCGATTCATCAAGCGAAATTTAACCACTTGGCGCTGGCAATTGATTGCGGACCATAACGAGTGACGCCAAACCGTTATATACGATAATTCGTCGCTTTCTTTCTGTCTTTTGAACTCGTCGGTATGATATCACTGGATAGAAATTATTGAGAAGCGATAAATTTATCATTTGTTTTGCCTATTTTGTCTTACTTAAATATACTTAAAACTGTGGAAATATTACAATTTTGGGACAAAAAATGCTCGACGTGGGTGGCACGTCATTCCAGCGCAAAAGGTTAAGCAAAACGGTCGCGACAAATCCCTTTCAAACCGGTGAGCGATTGTAAAAATGGTAACGTTGGCAAAAATCACGCGATCTCGGGGAACACAGTCGTCGAGAATAATCGAAGAGACTCTCGTTCTTTTTAAATATTTTTCTTCCGCGATTCGGTCGACTGTCTTCGCGAACGTTTCACAGAACACGATCTTCCTTCGTTAGAAAATACTCGAGTTACGAGTATTTTATATCGAACAGGTGTTCTCAATTTCGCTCCCGTTAAAGGCGCCACCAAGAACGTACTTTTTTTTCTATCGCTACTACGATCGTGACGAATCGAAGACCGAAAAGCAAAGATTGGAGAGAAGCAGCAAACCGGACAGAAGAAGAGAAAGAGAGAGAGAGAGAAGAGCAGATAGAAATGACGATTATTCGAATCGCCTGACATTTCGTTGGCCAACTTTGTGCTCCTCTGTCCAGCAATTTTCCTATTTAGGTCAGGCAAGATGACACGGCCGGTGACTCTACTCTTCCGTATCTCCCTGCTATTCCGGTACGATCGTCAACGACAGAGAGTCAGAGAGAGAGAGAGAGAGAGAGAGAGAGAGAGAGAGAGAGAGAGAGAGAGAGTAGAGGACGATATCGAGGGAATTGGAAGCACCAAACGCGAGGAACGGTCCCCTCTTCCTTTTGACTTGGTCGGTCAGAG